CGTGTTGATTCCGGCATGGATGGCAAGACCCATTGCGAAGCACGATCAAACGACCTTGCAGCCTAACACGCTGACAATGGAGGTATGGGTGACAAGCGGTGGTGAAGTTTTGTCGGAGGATCCAGAAAAGGCTACCGGCAGAGAAAGGTACTACAATGCAATCGTGCGACAAAACTGGTCACTCAGAAAGCTATGCTCAGCCAGAAAGGATGAGCTGGTGCAGTTGTCGGGATTGGCAGATTCCATTGACCTTCAGAAACAGCATCTTGAAAAGGAGAATGCCTCTCTGAAGACAGAACTAGCTGAACTAGCTGAACGACTAGCCGGCCTGAAGGCAACGGCAGAGAATGAAACGAATGCTGCACGGGCTTCACAGCCTCAACCACAGCAGTTTCAAAAGGAAGAGGACGTGTCAAAGGTTGTGGCGGCGGCCCTAGCCCCGGCACCAATAGCAATAGCAATGGAGCTGGTGGAGGCGGTGGAAGAAAAGACTGAGGTTCCGGCTGCGCCTGCTGAGGAAGAAACGGAAGCATCACTGACAAAAGGCGACCGCAGCCAAGAAGTTGACAATGATGATGATGATGGTCTGAAAAAGAGACCAAACGAATCTGAAGCCGCTGGGGTCACAGCCGAAGTCAAACAAAGTGGCAATTCCGGCAACAGCCAGATCAACAACAGCGTCCTTGAGTCAGCAATCCCTGCGGCCACCCAAGCCACTCAGGCAGACGCAGCCAAACAGGCTGAACATGAAGAGTCTGAACAACCACAGGAGGCGGAGCCACAAGCCACACAAGCACCAACGCTTGTGGAGGGTGAGAAGCCTCAGGAATCAGCTGAGGCTGAGGCTGTGCAGTTGGCAGGAGCAGGAGCGGGAGCGGAGAGAGGGCAGACTCAGACTCAGGTTGCTGAGCATGTGGATGAACACGCATCCGCGCCAAAGACGCCTGAAACAAGGAAGTTGCTACATTCTGTTGCCTGGCCAGAGCCGACGCCTGACAACAGCCCTTTTGATCTTCCTGAGAAAGCACCGACCTCAGCCAAGCCGCCTCTGAGCATCAAAACCTCCATCACGTTTCACATGCCCCTTTGATGAGATTCAGATTCAGATTAAGGAGCATTGCTTGCGAAAGACTTAAACCTCTTAGGCCCCTTAGGTTGTTAGGGTGGTGGTAAATTAACTATAGAACCCCCGTTTGTCCCAGTTTGCTTTAGTGTTGTACCTTTGAGTCTTTTGAGGTTTTATGCAACCCTTTTTTCTCAAGTTTAAGCTGCAACCTGCAATAATAGAATGATGGTTGGGCTGTGAATTTCATTGACGTGACGTGCCCAAGGCTGTCAACAAGCGTGGAATCTACCGAGACTGAGCCGCTCTCCTTGCTACGACCCATGACAGCAGATGAGGTGGCAGCCAAGACCAAGTCCGTCAAAAGGGACTGTCAAGGCACCAACAAGAGAATGGGCATGGCTGTCGCTTTGGAGTCTAGAACCAGGGAACTAGAAGCGAAGGGTGTTGAGACTGAAGCTTCGAAGAAAAGGAAGAAGAAAGAGGAAGCCAAAGGCGAGAAAGGCGCCGCCATGAAGGCAGCACGGGGACAACACTTGCTGAAGTGAGTTGCGATGCCACTATGGGGCGACCGGCCAAAGCCCTGTCAGCTCTGACCATAAATCTCCGACTGTTCTAGGGGGTTCATCGCTCAATGACACTGCACGAGTCAAGGGTCAAGACATTTACCTCCAGAGACCCCAAAAGCCCCAAAGCGCCCGGAAATATATAGCGCGTCCCGCGTCTGTGCTTTCACTTCTTCTTGTTTCCACACTCCGACATTCTAGAAGGCGATGAGGCCACGAACTTTGAACTTAGATCATGGATTCTAGATCAATTCTAGATACATAAATCAATAGCCGATTGATAGCACAGTGGAAACAAACAAACATATCACTATTATGAATCAGGATGATTTGTTTTTGCGCTTAGCTCGAATTGGAGTGGGTCTTTGCTGCGATTGGGTTGATAGTTCTGATGGTGAGTGGAATTCATTCGTTCACCTCCAACTGCCAAATGCATGTGTGCATGCAGTTGACAATCCCATTGCAAACATGTGAACAGCACATCATATCTTTACAACTTTGTTTTGCTCATCTCTTCATTCATACTGAGTAATTAGTTGGTTGTGTTGTGTTTGTTTGTCCGTTATGGGCCATGGGGTCATCGGCCATCGGTCATTGGTGCGTGTGCTTGGCCCGGCTTGCGCTGGCACAGTCAGTCATTTGGGGGACTGGAAAACAACGAAACACTTCACAGATTTGCAAACAAGAAGTGCGCTACCATAAATTGCTCACAAAATATGTATGTGTCCTTTCTTCTGCACACGAGTGTGGAACATGTTTTTGATAGGGTCATCCTCGTCAGGTCATCGAATCACCAAAGTGCCAGTGCAATGCTGTGGCACACGCGCCGATGTAAATACAGCAGCCTTGCAGGCAAATACCCTAGATGCTAGATGCAGAAAAAAATTAGAGCGAAGAGAAAGTACGTCAATCTTGTTCTGTACGCTGCACCGTGGTTACAAAGGAACTAGAGTCTAGAGAGAGGTCAAAGAGGTCTCAGTCTGACAGTCAGGAGGAGAGGAGTCCTGGAAACTTAGAGTTTAGAGTCTTAAACCCTCAAACACATTTTACCCACGACCCACCATCCAGTCATGCTTTCTTGCTCTTCCCACTCCCCCGACAGCCCTACCGTGTTCCCAAGTGGTTTGCCAAGGTCATTGGCGCCATTGGCCAAACTTTGAGTGGGTGATCAGTGATCGGTGATGGCCCGCATGAAATTCGTGAAATTGAGGAATTGTTGACAGCCACAGCGTCAACCTTCCCAATAGACTATAGACTAATAGAGTCTGTAGCATTGGCATCAGCATCGGCGTCGGACCGTAGGCCCTAGCTATTCAGCGCTATTCAAGAGACGGACGCAGGCACAGAATGAAGAAACATACATGTTCAGGTGTTCGGCTTGCTTTCGCAATCGGTCGGAATTCAGTCAGAGCAGAATCGAATCGTAATCCTAAATTGCAATCCGCTAAAACCAGCGAGAGGTTCAAGTTTAAATTTTTGTGAGTTCACTGTCAGAAAGCATTGCCCAAAATCATTGCTAACTTAGGCGTGACTCAAGGCGTGCTTTGGACCCAAGTGGTGTTTGTTTCACTTATTCTCTCATGCGTGCGTTGAGCATTCCTCACTCCCTTCAATGCATGGTGAAAGCCAGGCCCTTGAGGACTTCGAAAAGAAACCCGCCCCCCCCCAACCCCCCCCCCCCCCCCCCCAACCCACCCCCCCCCCACAAGCCCTGCCCCCCCCCCATTCAGGACCTCCTGGCGCGTAAGAACGTCACGTGTCCTGAATGGGGCCGGCTTCACCCGTATAGCTAGTGACGCACGTCACGACGCAACCATTGCTTTGCAAATCAAAATGGCAGTAACGCACAGAACCGCAGGGGGCCCAGCGGCGACAACGCGCGCCGCAGCCCCTTCTGGAGGCTCTGGGTACTGCGCCTGCCACTGCAGAGAGCGAGGGGGGGCCCAGCGGCGACAACGCGCGCCGCAGCCCCTTCTGGAGGCTCTGGGTACTGCGCCTGCCACTGCAGAGAGAGAGGGGGGCCCAGCGGCGACAACGCGCGCCGCAGCCCCTTCTGGAGGCTCTCGCTACTGCGCCTGCCACTGCAGAGAGAGAGGGGGGCCCAGCGGCGACAACGCGCGCCGCAGCCCCTTCTGCAGTCTCTGGATGACAGGCTCTGGGAGTGTGAGCATGCCGCGCAAACACTGGTCCTGCAAATCACAATGCACCAGTGCACAGACACACTTCGCAAACATCCTTCTCGCAGCATTTACAATGCGACTCCGAACCGGCAAGAACCAATACTATGGAAATCACAATGGCAGTAGTGCACAGACACAGTGTGCGCACATCCTGGCCGCAGCCATTACAATGCGATTCGCAGCCTGTCACAACCATTGCTTTGCAACTTACAATGGCAGTAACGCACAGAACCGCAGGGGGCCCAGCGGCGACAACGCGCGCCGCAGCCCCTTCTGGAGGCTC